CTTGTCTTGCCTAAAACATCTTGTTTCTGATTTGTATGCAGCAACCTTCCTGCTTAATGGAACACTGCTAATCCATGCTTTCCCAAAATATCTTCTTTGCCAGACTGAAAAAAAGAACTAGATCCTTCCAGCTTCCCTCCTGGGTCATGCAGAAATAGAATAGAATAGAAATAGAATAGTTCAATTGGAAAGGGACTTACAAAGATCATCTGGTTCAACTGCCTGAGCACCTCAGGCCTAACCAAAAGCTAAAGCATATTGTTAGGGCATTAATCCAAACACATCTTGAGAATTGTCAGGCATGGGGCATCAGCCACCTTGCTTGGAAGCCTGTTGCAGCATCTGACCTCCCTCACAGTAAAGACATTCTTCCTGATGCCCAGCCTGAACCTCCCATTTGGCAGCTGTGCCATTCCCATGCATCCTGTCACTAGACAGCAGGGAGAAGTGCCCAGCACCTCTCTCTGTGCTTCTAATCCTCAGGAGGTTGCAGAGATCTATGAGACCTTGCAGGATCATATTTAACAAACGCCAATTTGACACTTGAAGAGTAATGAAGTTTCCAACCACTTGTTCACACAGCCATGGAGAGGCTTAATCTAAATCGCTACACTGCAAATGAAGTAAACCACACCCCAGGGCAATCAGTCAGTGCTTCTTCATGCCTCGTCAACCAGAGAAGCTGCTAAGAATGGAAAGTCTTTGTACCTGCTTAGTAATTAAGTACAGCTCACAAACTGATACACACTGATCTAAATAAGCGAGTTGTTTTTCCAGTTGCTTTTGAGAACGTTGACAAAGCATCAAAAGATGCACTGCACTCAAGATCTGGATATCTATTTCTGTTCCTACACACACAGGATGTGTTACAGTGCTCTAAAATAAATCAACATATTCAACAAATCCTAGCTTTTGTTACTGTGCAGCTGCCTGTGAACAGATTGCTTTTTGCAATTGCTTAGACTGTAAATGTTTAGCACATACTAATTAAGAGCAAAATCATCTGATTCTGATAATTTAGATGTTATTTTAGACAATTTAAAAACAAAATCAACAAATATGATCGTATCATCTTGAAATTAAGAATGAATGCACAAGGTAAGAAAGAATGCAACAAAAGCAACATATTCATCTGTCACGTGTAACCAATACCAAAAGAACAGTGAACTAAACCTGAACCACTGCATGCACATGCAATGAATAATTTTGAACAGAGATTTGTAAGAATGTTTTGTACATCACAAATTTGATGAACATTAAACTAAAGGACGGAAGAAAGCTTTCTTAAACAGCCCTCAGAAGGAATGGTAAAGGACCATCAAAATAATGCTGACTATAATATCTATGATTTTAGTTTCATTTTTTTTTTTAAACAGACTATATTTTATAGACAGCACTACTCAAAGTTTCTGACAGGACATTAAAAAAAGAAACATATGAATGCTAACCACATTAGAGGGTTAGGATAGAAGGAGATAACATCGGAGCATTTTCAACGGAATTTTTTACTTCGAGCATTTTCACAATACTAAAAATGAATAATTGCAAGTGTGTTCTATATATTTAACATAAATTAGATAAGTTAAAGCAGATGAGCAACAGAAAGTTACTCAAGCTGACAGATCTTCAAAGAAATGTGCCATGTGGTGAACCAGCTGGTCATAATCAGACTTCAAATTAATACTATTTTTGAAACAAGGATTCAAAACCTTCAGCAGTGAAGCCAGTTAAATCACAATACATGTTAGTTCTGAGAAGTACAAGATTCTTTTTCCTCCTCCCAAGGAATAAAAGAACTTTTCCTCCCAGTTCTCAGACCAATCTCATGCTCGAGAGAAGCAGAACATTCTTTGAAGAACCAAGCTGTTCCTTAAAGCTGTTCAGAAAGCTACTGTCTTAACGGCTGACAGAAATCAACACTTTTAAGGTGCTGATCCACAGATGAATCTACTGGAAGAGCAGTCTATGATTTATAACCAAGAGCATCCCGATCTCCTTCTACATTATCACCCAGAGGAGAAGGGAAGAATTGACTGAGAAAATAATGGATCTTGGCAGAATTGGAAAGTAGCACCCGTTACTAAAAGAATTACAGCACACTCACAGTAGTGTACAAACATATGAAGTGGTGTCCAGCCTTCACTGGCCCACAAGAAAAAAAAAAAAAAAAAAAAAAAAAAGCTAGCATCCAACCACCTTTGTGCTTTCTGCTCCCTGCCATACAGGTCAACAAACCAGCCTAGGCAGGATGTGCCACAGCCTCTGGCAGCTTCACAAACTGTCCTAGGGACCATTAAGTTAAAACAGTGGAAACACAAACTTTGAAGATGAATTTTAGTTTTAAATGAATGCAAATTACTAAAGAACATTGCTGCCAAAACATGGTGCGGTTTAATGCCAATTTCTTGCTCACTGTAAAAAGTGCCAGGCATTTCCAAGTTCTCAAATGAAGTACAGTGTTAGTAATGCTCTTGCAACGCTTTACTAAGTCCATTCACCTCTAATTTACTAGCATTTTACTGTTCTTCAGGCTCAACAAATCCAAATCCAGTTACTTTCATGCAATTTGAAGTTGACAATAAACAAAAAAGATCTCAGGCAACTAAAGCTTTAGCAATCAAAAAAATCACTTCTGTATCAGGGTTAGCAGCAATAGTTTCTGAACAAACAATGAATTTAAAAAACTAAAAAATTTTAAAAAAAAATTATAAAACATATAAGCTATAATTATGAATCTAAACAACAATTATTTTCAGGAAATAAAACTAGATCATCTAAATTATAATTATATAATGCTAGAAGAATCCTAATTTAGTAGGTAAATTTCTCCAAAATGTTCAAGTGAGACCAGCAGTGTGAGAAATGCAGAGTAATACTTCACAAGTTCTACCCTGGAAAGCAAAAGGGCTGCAATTGCCCAAGGAAATCCCAAACTAGAAAATTAGTGTCCTTCATCTCCTTTCTCCAAGGAACTTGAAGGCTCATCTGAAATAAAAGAAAGGAGGTTTTCCAGAGAAGACGCAGGCTTTCCATCATGCAGTCAGAAAAAAAAAGAGATGGCAAACCATTCACATTCCCAGTATTACTGTCTGGCTCTCCAGGTACATAATCTACACTGCTTAAAACAAGTAGAGCCCCCTCTCACATAAACAACTTACAATGGGCCCAGCTCCCTCTCTCTGAGCTGGTAAAGCGAGCGGCCTTGCAGAACAGACTGAAGACTGAGAGCCAGAAATAAAGGAGATAACTTCTTGCCAGGTCAGATCTGAACCCATTCAGAAAACACAGCCAAGCATTCACCAGACTGAAATGAACACACAGTTGGAAAAAAAAGAAAAAAGAAAAAAAAGAGCTAGGTGAAAGACCTTGTTTCCAAGCAGTACACATTTAGCTTGGCTTAAACACTAGACATCCCCAGGTGCAGGCTGCCAGGTGTTAGCACTGTGGCTAGATTGCTAGGAGCATGTGACAAATGCAAGACCTGCAACAGATGTGCTGAGAGCACACAGGACTTAAGACCAGAAGCCTCCAGAGTAGGAAAACCATTATGCTTTAACTCTGATTAGTGGAGTTCTAGGAAACCCCTCAGTTTGGCTTCACTTTTAAACACACAACTCATACTAGCCTTGGCCTAAGACAAACAGATGAAGTCACTACACTCAGCTAAGATGAAGAGGATATCAGTCAGTGTTCAGGCAAAACATATTATAAACTGTCTAAAAAGAAGGTATTTCAACTGTTTCCTAAAATATTTCAATTAATAATCCAGATTAAAATAAAAAAAAAGTAGAAAAAAAAAGCATACATATGTTTGATTCCCTGACTGAGTGCATCGTTTATGGTGCATGGAGACGATACGGAAGAGAACACAGTTACAGACATGCTTTAAGCTAGTAAGAAACAGTTGAGCAATGCAAAGAAAATCAACCCATGGCAGTTTTCTCAGCTAATACAGGTGCTGAAACCCTACACACGCCTCTGTGGTGCATGAGAGCACACATACAGAACTCAAATTTGTCTGCATGCTTCAGCATGTACTCAGAGACTTATACTGCATACAAGGGAAACTATCAACCCTACTCTAGGTGACAGCATCAATACAGCTGTGTTTTTGTTCTAAAAATGAGTGTTAAAATATACATGCAGTGACAAAATGAACAAGTATCTTACAGTTTTTGAAAATCAACAGCAACCACGGGTGTTCTAATGCACACAAAACACTGGCCAGTGGAAACCACAATTCCACAAAAGAGAATACAGTCAGTGTGACACAGCAGCTACTCTGTAACCCCAGGACAGCCCCACCTGTTGCCAGCACCAACCTGCCAGGCTGTGACTGCACCTTTTTTGTCAGTCCTGGGACAGTCAGTATTTCTATGTTGCTATAAAACCAAAGGAAGCAAGGCAACCCAAACGGAGGGAGTAGTGCCAGATCACTCAACCCCGAATTAGAAAGTGCTGTTGTTAATGGAAATTGCTTTTGAAGGGATAGCATTGATCTCATACCGTGGTGGGCTGTATAAAATATTTTAACATCTCCATAGCAAACTGAAGGTGTGATTGTGGTACTGGCAGACACGTTTGCGTTATTTTTAACCTGTTAAAAGCCATAATGTTTAGCTCAAGCACGGGCCAGTGACTGCGCCTCGTGACAAACGCGTGTTCCCATGACTCGGGTACCTACTCTGCAAGCCGTCCCCACGTTCTCGCGAGTTCCGCGCAGGTGGGGCGGGCACGCACTCATTGTAACCACCTGTGCCAAAAATACTCAGCAATACCTCATCTCTAATTGCACTCTTAGACTCTTCAAAAGAGACGCGTATTTCCCAGCACAAAACCGTAAATGGTTTCGGCCAGAAAACCACCGCCCTGCAACGCGCGAACAGCAGCGAGAGACCGCAGCGCCGCCACTCGCCCCGCGCCGGGCCCCGCCACGCTCGGCTCCGCCTCTGCCCGCTCCCGTACCACGGAGGGCGGGCTCTCCTCCACCTCCTCCTTACCCGTCGGTGCTCGCGCGCGGCCGGTGGCGGCGCTGCCCCGCGGCCCCGAGCCTCTCGCTTCCCGCGGCCTCCGCCTCCTCGGTGTCCGTGAGCGCCGCCTCTCCCGCGGCCCCCGGTTCCTCCTCGGCCGTGGCCGTCCGCGCTGCCGCTTTCGGTCGCCGACTCGGCCGCCTTATCTGCGCCGCCGGGCCGTCTCCGGCCGTGCCGGCCACCTTCCCTCCGGGGCCGGCTGCCGCCCCGTTCCGGCTGCATGGCCGGGCCGCGCCCTTCACCCGCGCCGCCTGCGGCCGGGACGGTCCGTGCCGCGCCGGTCCCCGCCTCCTCCCGGAAAGAGGCCGGCCGTGAGGGCGAGAGCGGGAAATGGCGGCGCCGCACGGCGGCGGCCCCGGCTGCTGCCCTGCTCGCGGCGGTGCGGCTCGCGCGAGCCACGTCAGTGCGCCCGACCGGGTCTGTGCCAAAACAGTGCGTTGTAATGTTTAGAAAACAATGATGTTACAGCTGTGTGAGGTTCGTTTCTGCACCGTGTGAGGGAAAAAAAGGAACCAACCCCTGGCGGACATCTAGTTGCGGGCAAGCCCGTGCAAAGTAAAGTCTGTCAGGCGTTCCTGCACGCGCACGGGCAGGGACTCCCGAGTCCCTCCGAGCGAGGCTGTTTGCTCTGCTGTGCCTGAGCTAGAGTCCACGTGCCATGCTAGGGAGGTTTACCGAGCCCCCATCCCACAGTTACTGCACTGCTTTTCCCGTGCAAACTGTCATTTGGAAATACGTGTTAAAATACCTGTTTTGACGGGGTTTTTAAACCCAGTAATCCTCACAGCGCAGTGCTGCCAGAAAACCCACACTGTGAAATCATGGGTTATATATCTCTGCACTACTGCTGCCCATAGCAAAGACTGCTGCTAGGCCTTAATGCACTGCAAACCAGTAACATTCACATGGTTTCAGTACTGCATGCAAGCAAATACATTTAGTAGGGGGGATGCATCAGCAGCAAGCACGTCACTAAGACACTGGAGCAATTCCATGTGCAGCCAACACCAGCCTAGCAGGCCCAGCACTGAGCTAGAGCTAATAAACCCCATTAAACCCAAGCTGTGACTGCATCTGTGGCACAATTCATCTGTGACATGAACAATCTGCCTGCAGATAGCTGTGAGCTGACTATATGTACAGATTTAACATCTCGCAGTAATTAGTACTTACAGCTAGCTCAAAAAAAAAAAAAAAAAAAAAAAATCAGAAATATTTGGCAACAAATAACAAATTCATGACAACTCACAAGTGTGAAGTTCATGCGTCAATAATTTTGAGGCACATAGCAAAGCCGTGGTATTGTACATGTGCGTTTTGATTTTGTAATTTAATTCTGATCTCCCTATTATTATAATCTGTTGTGATAGACAGTTAACATAAATTATGTTACCATAGCACACTGAAGTCTCATTCATAGACTGTTGCTCCGAGTTACAGAAAAATAAAGAACAAAAGGTAACACTATAATGTGTAACACTTAATGTGTAACACTATAATGTGTTAACAGAGAACTATGAGGCACAAGAGGATGCAGTATGAGAAGCTATCCAAATGGTCAAAATGTCAGGAGATCTTTGCATGAGAGTTGCTTAGGTACTGTCAGTTTTCATAGCCGTCAGCAAAACAGTCCATGAGGGAGAAAACATGATGATAGTGAGAGTGATTTATTTGGTGATAATGGCTAAGTTTGTGTCATTGATTATAGGGAACTCATACCAAGCATGAAGAACAGCACTGGAGAAAGCAAAATGTATTCAAAAAAGATAGTAGGTGAATATAAGAGTGCTGGTGCAAGATTGGCGCAAAGAAGAAAAACGAGACTGGAAGGAAAAGTGTGAAAAGCCTTCAAAAAGAAAAGAAGTAGCTAAGTTTTCATGTAAGGGCAGAGAGGATCACTGTGAAGAGATGAGCTGTGTTTGGCTCCCCAAAATGATACATTTAGGGATCTCTTTGTGAGGACGCTTACCCTCACAATGCTCTTCTGTCTTTTGTTTATATATTAATTACAATGTATATCCATATCATCTGTGTTCTCCCTACTGAAGTCATTTCAGTCCAAGAGCAGTTGTGTTAGGGTGTGTGAAGTTCTGCTTCTCCTTTTGCTCTGTGGTCTGCAGTCTACGTGGGGCAGCTTCAGAAGTCTTTTCTAATTTCCAGTTTTAGGGAGGGTAAAAGATCGGATTGGGGAGCACACTTGCTCACTTGCTGCCTATGGCAAAAGACAAAGCATTACAATTTCTACTCTCTACTATTCTGAGAAGGGTGTCACATTTTAGGGAAGAAAAAAAAAAAAAGAAAGAAAGAAAGAAAAAAAAAAGAAAAAGAAATTCAGCCTCCTGTAATCTTCCTGACCTGCTGCAGAACCCCAGGTGTTAGGCATGGTAAGTGGGCATGGTGGGGATAGGTTGGGGTTGGACAATCCTGGAATCTTTTCCAACCTCAATAATTCTATGATTCTATGATTCTAATGTAGAAGGCAGCCAGTTAATAGAGGTTTATTCGTGTGCTTGATTGACATTCATACTTACTGCCTTTTTGAGGCTGTCTCAAGGTTTTTCTGAAATCTCACTTGCCGTACAGCTACGAGCACTGGCAATGTTTCAGCTGTGTTAGTTGTCGGGCAGAATGCACATCCCCTTTGTAGGAGCTCAGTTGACTAAGTTAGAGCTTAGCTGTCTGAGGTCAGCTGCCCTGCCAATAAGAACTGTTGTGAAGAAAGCAAGAAGCAAGGGCCTCCATCTCCTTTCTCTTGTAGATTTCTGCAGAGTCTAGAACCAGGATGAAAATTCTTCCCTCACTTAGGGCTTGTTGGGACTGCTGTGTCACTTCTGCTATTCTTGGCTGCTAGGCTGGCTCATGAGGCCAGAGAAGCTAAGCATACAGATGGTCAACATGCATATGTTATAATTACTGTGCTTATTGCTAGGCTACAAGGTCTATACATTAACTAAAATCCTGTTCAGCTACACTCAGTATGCATTATGCATAAACAGGATACAGACTTATGGACGTCTAAATATAAGACAGGAGATGACAGAGAGACAAAGTGGTGAAGCACCACTTCAGTCAGAGTCATAGCCAGTGGTCTCAGTACACCAGCAAGCTTACTGTTATCAAATCTCATCACAAGAGGTAGTCTTTATGGAATGTTTAAAGAAGAAATCTGATATACTTTTGTGGATACTTAAAAGACACTGGATAACAAAAGTGAAGGAAAAAATAAAATATAAAATAAAATATAAAGTAAAATGACAGTGGGAAATATTGAGATTATTTTCTGAAAATTCATCAAGTGGCTATAAAACATTTATATATTCAGCTGATATTCATCTACTCAGGAGCCTGCTACTGGGCACTAAAATAGATGACAATGTGTGAAAACTACAGGCTGGAAAGCTTGCAGTTAATGCAAGACATTTGCAAAGACCAAAGAAAATAATGTTCCAAGAGTTAGGATGAAAGAGGAGTGGTATGAATGGATAGGAAGGACTACAAAAGAGAGATTTTGTATCCTGAAGACTTAAAAGTTGGACTTGGTGACCTATATGATAATTTTAGCTGAATCCGTATCAGTTACAAAAAAAAAAAAAAATCATCTTCTTACCTGTTTTTTTACTGAGTAGATGGCTGATAAATTTAAACATCCTTTTCTATTTCTGACTTTAAAAACCTAACATCTACTTGATTATTCCAAAATTATGTGGCCTACGAAGAGTAAGCATCAAACAAATGATTAACATCATCAGATGTGATGGAATAACTAAAAACCAGAAGAGATCTGTGAAAGAAGCTAATTGCCTGATTCAGGTATGCATTCTCAGAAACAAGAAAACAGCAGTGAAAAGTTACACCGTATGAGAGAGACTATAGGAAGGTATGGACATTAGAGATACATATATTAATATAATAACAGTGGTTTCATTTCCTTCTACTGCTTATGCAGTCTACAGTATTAAATTGTTTTTGTTGCAGTTTGTCACTGAGGTTATCCATTGATGACTCCCCTTCATTTTACTCATTTCTGTCCTCACCCAATCCTTCCAGCACTTCCACACCTTATCTTACTCAGACCTTCCTAGAATGAAAAGTCTTTTCAGCTAAACTTATTTTTCTGAAAACTTTTTTTTTTTTTGTCCTTTCCTATTTGCTTAACTCTAAAAATTCCCCAGCAGAGCACTTCTAACACCTAATCATTTACCAGTGCCACCGTGCCAGCATGGTTACTATCTCCCTATGCATCTTCAGTACCCTTGTGTTCCTTTTCTGCTGATGGATTCTGAAACAGTGACTTCCTCAAATTTTCTAGAGACCATTTCTGAAATTTTGACGTATCTTCTACACAGTGTTGTAAGGAACAACACCATGACTCACTGTCTCATTACACTGCAAAACTTTAATGTCTGTCTTTAACAATATGTAGAGTGCCTCTTAAGGTATTAAAAATGTAAGAGCTTGTGTGATTGAACATCTTATGAAACAATAGTTGTTTTGATTGCATTTAGAAATGTCATGAGTACATTGTCCTAGAACACATGTGTGTTTCATTTAGTTCACAATGATAGAAACAGTTATGACAATACAGAAAGAGAACACAAATAATTTGATGGATTGCTTTGCAAGTGTTTCAAGGTATATCTAATGGAAGTCTGTGCTATTTAATGAGCTGCTTTCTTTTTCTCTTTTTTCCTTTTATTTTTACAGCTGCCTCCAAAAGATATACAGAAAACAATATGCAAGAGTGCTAAGATTCTGATGACAATTGATCAAGAAAAAGAATGGAAGTAAATCTATTCAGCAATTCTACTGTTATAAATAGTTCATCCATCAACCATAAACAGTTAGAAGGGCACAGCCTCTGGGAAGTTATTACTATTGCCACTGTAACTGCAATTGTAAGCTTAATAACCATAGTGGGAAATGTTCTTGTAATGATATCCTTCAAGGTTAACAGTCAGCTCAAAACTGTTAACAACTATTACTTGCTCAGTCTTGCCTGTGCAGACCTCATCATTGGAATATTTTCTATGAACCTCTATACCTCTTATATACTCATAGGCCATTGGTCTCTTGGAAGCCTGGCGTGTGACCTGTGGCTAGCGCTGGATTACGTAGCTAGCAATGCTTCAGTCATGAACCTCCTAGTCATCAGCTTTGACAGATATTTTTCCATCACAAGGCCTTTGACATACAGAGCTAAACGCACACCCAAAAGAGCTGGCATCATGATCGGCCTGGCTTGGCTAATCTCCTTCATTCTATGGGCACCTGTAATATTATGCTGGCAGTATTTTGTGGGTGAACGAACAGTACCCCCTGAGGAATGCCAGATACAGTTTTTATACGAGCCCATTATCACTTTTGGTACTGCAATTGCTGCTTTTTACATTCCAGTGTCAGTGATGACCATTTTATATTGCCGCATCTACAAAGAGACTGAGAAACGTACCAAGGACCTCGCTGAACTTCAGGGTTCTGAGTCTGTGGCTGAATTTGAGACGATAAAGCCTCGAAAAGCTTTCCTGAAGTCTTGCTTCAGTTGCAAGCAACAAAACTTAGTCAAAAGGGAGAGATGTCAGGCTTCCTGGTCTTCATCCAGTCGAAGTACATCAGCTACAGTGAAGGCATCCCAGGCAGTGAGCACGTGCACTGAGTGGGCTAAGGTTGACCAACTGACCACCTGCAGCAGCTATGCATCTTCAGAAGAAGAGGACAAACTTGCCACTGATCCTGTTTTCCAAGTTGCATACAGGAGTCCATCTAAAGGTAAGGAAGAAGAATTTAATGAAAGGGAAAGTAAGGATATTGTTGTCAAAGACCAACCTGAAGAAAACGATTTTGAGACCCAGCAATACTTTTTGTCACCTGCCATCAGCCAACAAAGTAAAAAATGTGTGGCCTACAAATTCCGCTTGGTGGTGAAGGCTGATGGCACTCAGGAAGCCAACAATGGTTGCCGTAAGGTAAAAATAACTCCTTGTTCTGCTGCTGTGTCGAAGGATCCTTCCATCAAAAGCATGGATCCAAATATAAATAACCAAATCACCAAAAGGAAAAGGATGGTTCTTATAAAAGAACGTAAAGCAGCACAGACTTTGAGTGCCATTCTTTTGGCTTTTATCATCACATGGACTCCCTACAATATAATGGTTTTGATCTCCACATTCTGCTCGGACTGCATTCCTCTGACATTGTGGCACCTTGGATACTGGCTATGCTATGTGAACAGCACTGTTAATCCCATGTGTTATGCTCTCTGTAACAAAACTTTCAGGAAAACTTTTAAGATGCTACTTTTCTGCCAGTGGAAAAAGAAAAAAGTGGAAGAGAAATTGTACTGGCAGGCCAATACTCGAATGCCATAACAACTCCTATATAAGAGATAAATGGAAAAATAGATATTAACATAGTCTAGTAAAGGACTTTTGATTCCGTATTTTCAAAGCTGTTGTTTTATATGTCTATGTGTTAAAAAAAATAGTCAGCAAAAAGTGATATTTTGCATGAAAGTAGTGTATTCGGGATAAAGAAGTCAGTGGTTGCTGGCAGAGTGTTCATGATTACGCAGTAGATCTGCATTAAAATTGCTGTGTTTGGGTTCTTTTGTCCTTTCTTTCAGCCTGAGAAATTGTAGTGTGTCTTATAAACTTCTAGAAATTAGCACATGATTATCATCCAGTCATCAGGGCAGGTTATCCAGCCTGTCTCCTCTTAGTGCAGAACTGTTTCTTCCTATAGTTCCTTTTCTCCTTTCTGCTGTATTGTCTATTTATTTTTCAATGGAACAAGCAATGGAACACGTATTACTTCTGTTTTGAGACTTTTCCACATGCTATGGAATGAAATAAGGACTATTTAAAGAGGGAAATACTGTTATCAATACTAGGGAGATTAGGGAGTTAGGGAGATTCTTACTATTCCAAAAGAATACACTTACTACAGGTGAATGTAATACTAAGAAAATTTGCACTTTAAGATGTCTTTTTTGGGGAGACAGAAGAAGGGCTCACAGGGAAGGAATCAGATAATGTATTTCATATAAGGAGGATCCAGTCCACATCTCACACATCCTGCAGTTACATCCCGCACATCTCAGTTCCATCCTGCAAGTCAGTGTTATCTAAACATGGTGATAGTTAGCAAATATCTATGAATTTGTATTTCTTTATTTCCTAATGCCTCAGAAGGATACATTTTAAATGTATGCAGTAGTGACAGTAGTACTGACCAGAACTGACTATAAGGATGGACACAGTTTGTCTATTTTACAGTGTGTGGGATATAAGTCAAATCCTTCTTGCAGTCTCTCTATTGCACTCCCCCTTGCAAGTGCACAAAAATGTGCATCAATGCCCTGCAAATTCACCTACCTATCACAAAATTATTGGAAGCCATGGCAAAATTGGTATTTCTGAAAGAAGAAATATTTTGTAAGTATTTCTCCATTATCTATATAAAAGTTTCGTGCTTTCATAGCACTTCTATCTCTAAATATCTTTACAAATACTAATCAGCATCAGGTGTTTGGAAATAGAAGTTTCCCAGTCCAGCAGAACTTTGTCTGCTGCAACACTGGGGGCTGAAGACAACCCCACCTGGGGCTGTGGCTCCTGGGACTCCGGGTACAGCTGCAGTGAGCTGATCACCTGTCCAGTAGCTGAGGTTTGCCAGGGCTTTGAATGTGGTAAAGACATTCATGTGACTATCTGGTATCTGTGTTAGACTGGCAGAAGTCGTGCACCCTTGACAAGTAAGTATGTGAAGGCAGGGCTGCTTTTAGCACAAAGCCACTGACTGAATGGAAACAGTGCCTGGCTCATAGTGGTAGAAAAATATGCTAGTGGTGACAGGATTCATGAGGAGTGAAATTTTAAAGTACACAAATACTTATGAGTAACAGAGAAAGAATTTCACACACCTCACTGAGTCCACCTCAAAAGTTCAGATTCAGTTCTAGCCTCTATCAAAATTCAGGGTGGGATGCTCTGAAGTAGAAATTTGGGCCAGTGTTTATTTTTTTAGCTATTATACACATTAGGGGGACAGTGCAGCAGTGATGAGACCCAGCTGCATATTTCAGGGATCACATTAGTTCATCCTGAACATAACACTGCTCCCAGCAGAATCATTCATATAATTTATTACTGTATCATCAACATATTTCCCTGCAGATATATAAATCCTTCATGTCAGCAATCACAGTACAAGTAATTAATATTTTTTATCCTCAATCTCCAGAGGGAAAAACTGTCAGTGAAAGATTAGCAGTGTAGTAATGTAAAAATACATTCTCGGAGTTCACTTGATTGATCTTTTACACACCACACTGTGCCTGATACTTTGTGTGCATTAGCATATGACTACTTATTAAAAGAATGCATTGGTCTTTTCAAAGACCCTTTCATCAACTTTCCTCTGTCACTACCAGAGCTTTTTCTGTGGGCAGTAACTACGTACGTGTCAGTTATTACAGTAGGTAACTTTATACTACATTGGTTTGGACATTCAGTAAACTGTGTTTGATTTTTAGCAAATGAATGCCCTCTGTGGCATAAGCTGTAGTTAAAGGCAAAATTCATGAGATAGTAACTATTGCTGCTACCTGCGATGTTGTTTCTAAAGTAAAGCATTGACTTCTACTTCTAAAATTAAACTGAATATATTTTGTTGGTTTTGGCTTCTGTTGAACTAGAGTACTGTGTAAATGTTTATGGACTCTGTGCTTAGTAAATGTATTAGAGTAGATGGTGATGGATGCAACAATGTTGGTTCACTCTAATTGTGAAACGTGTGCTCAAACTATGCTGCTAACACTTCACAGTGTGAGACGTTACACTGCCAAACCTGGTTACATTGTAAAGACCTGGAATTATATTAAGAGGTGTTTGTCGCTTTATTGTTAAGTGAGATGTTTACCCTTAAAAAAAAAAAAAAAAAAAGAAACCACAAAAACTCATTAGAGTGTGAGTTAGTATTTAGTTTCTTAATTTTATTTTGTTTTCTAGCTCTATAAAGGCTCCTTTAAACATGTCGTGCGGCTTCTGCCATGTAAAACAATCTCATTATCTATATTTCTCTTTTGATGACCCTTTTACTGATCCTTTAATTAATTATGGTCGCGGACTTATGAAAAGAACTTTTTCTTAAACTGCACTTTATTTATACATACATATGCATATATTTGTCTATATATCTATGTATGTATTATCAATATAGTTGTATGAACACACATCCCCAAACAAGCTTTTCAGAGACCCTGCACATTTAAATATTTTTGAATATTGAATTTTCCCACAAAGGAAACAGAGGTATTGTTTTTGTCTCTCCTTTTTTATGTAAGCAAGTCTCCCCGTGAATCTCAGAAACCCATTCGTTTTACATAAATATACTTTATAAAGACTTGAAAGAGTTCACAGAACTGGGGAAGGCTGAAATGAAGAGATAAAGAGTGAATACAGCGAGAACCTGTAAAATATTTTTCCATTAACTTAATTCTATAATTTAGTTACTAATCATAATTGTTCTAATGTATAATTATTCTATGCACTTCAATTAACAATTGCTGTTAATTGCTGAAAGGTATTTTTGTATGTGGAGTTTTGTTCCTCATCCCAGTTGTACCCATAGCATGAACTGCGTTGGTTTATATGTACTTGAGGATTCCAGAGATGCAGAGATGTACTTAAGCAAAAATCCTTAATTGTACTTCCTTATCCCCCTATGTATTCTGTTCCAGTTTTCGAGTCGAGCCTCACAAAAGTCCCAATTTCTACTTTTAATTATTTAATGAATTATTTCTGATCATTTTATCTCCTACACAGAGCATTTTGAGAAATCTGTATCAATGCCTCCTTGTCAAATTCCACACACGATCTATGTCAAATTAATTGAACTAATACATCTTAATGCAAACATCCCTAAGACAGTCATACACCTGAAAGAATAAATAAGGCACTGGGAGGTGGTAAGTATATTAAACCTAAGTCAGAAGTCATTTTAACGATTAAAAAATCTGATGCAAGTCTGGAAGATAGTGTTTTCTCTTAGAACACAATTATTATGGAATCAGATACTCAGTTTGAAACTCAGAATTGAATACCTGCAGACTGTCACTAGACTGTATTTTGAATAGAATTTTGTAAAAACAGTTCCTTACCTTTAGTAGGAAACAGTTTCCTATCAGCCCTTCACAGTTTGGGATTTCTAAAATCTTCATATTGAATAAGAATATTTGGCCATCACTTTCCTCAAATTACTCTGTGATATTATACTCTGACATAGGCACTTCTACTCACTCTAGATTATTTGCTTTAGGAAAACAAAGTAAAAAAAAAAAAACAACAACAGAATTACATAATTTACCTCTGGGATTAATTTTCTTTACTTTCTATAGAGATAGGAGTAACATGAAGGAGTCACCTGGGTATTAGGAAACCAAATGACTTTCCTCCGATGTTCATAACAGATGAGCTGGAGTTACCATTTTCTGTATACTCAGTGGCTTCTCCATTTGAAATGTACTTCCAAACCTGAGCTCCAAAACAACACATCCTTCTCTTTGAAAGCTCTAAGAAAGAAGTGTTGATGAGTGGATTGGAATATTCCTAATTATTTTCATCCTCAATTTCCAAATTCTTCATTTAGAAGCATGGAACATACCACACTCCATGACTTCCATTAAAGTCAGTGCTTGAACTATTAATGTTTGTCATGTTTTTGTCCGCAGATCTATTAATACCATTTATTACTATATGCTAATCTAATTCCCATACTGGAATTCAGTGTCAGCAGAGGTCTGTAGGACTCCAGTTTACACTAGAGAATGCCAACACTAGAGAGTGGACAGCTGGATTTGGGCTGGTGATGCCTGAACTGTTCATGGAGCGTATTCCACAGGTCCTTTCCTCCAAAACCCTCCAAGCAGGATGAGCGAGCTGCAGAGCAGGTTATTTGCCTTTGAGGATCAGATACAGCCTACTGGCTTTCAGCTGGATGTTTCCATGTCAAGATTATTTGTGCCGTTTTTTGGTAGTAGTGTTAGAATCTGTCTATCTAGATGGGAACTTGATGGGTAAAAGCTATGGGAGACAGCAATTTTCTTGTATCTTCATTACAACCTTTGGAGGTCTCCTGATGCAGTTGCAGCAGAATCCACATTATTTGACTTGATTACAACAATTCAGTTCATAAATTCATTCACTTCTTGCTCTATTATACTTCTTTTTTTTAATCACAATTTGAAGGCAAAACATTACCTGCTGCAAAATATGCATATACACTATATTGGTCTCACCTGCACAACTTACCTGTATCTTTTTCTGAAAGTGTTACAGTGCAATGTAAAAAATAGAATTTTCTTTCATGACTTCTCAATTTTCCAATTAATTTCTCAAGTAATCATGCCAGTCTTGGTCTTCTCTAAACACAGTACAGTTTATTTGTCTCTAAATTAATTTTCATGGCAATGACAGGATCCCATTTTTTAATTAAAAAGCAGAACTTCGCCAATATCTGTTGCCTGAGTTTCTGCAACTGAAAATCTACAATAAAATACAAGATATTCTAATTGTTATCCTGGCAATTTGTAGAATACAAGAATGAAAACTCTTAAGTAGTAATTCAGCTATTTCAATTATATTGAAAAGTGTGAAATAGAAGATTCTAAGTAACCCCATCATTTGTACAAGTAAACAGGATCTTCAAGGTTACCAAAACCAAAATGCTTTTATTTATGATTTTAAAATAGATGAATTCATCATGAATTTAAAGGCTTTCTCTTTGTGTTACAATCGAGAAAAAAAGACATTGTTTAAGTAAGCTCAAGGTTGAGTACCAAAACAATTGAAGCCAGCACATGTAAAGTAATGCCAACACTGTTCTTATCGCACAATGGTACTAAAAACAAAAAACAAACAAACAAAAAAGCTTTAGTATTTCATGGAACAAGAGGAAAAATTGGAGCTGTGGGCTAGTAGCCTTTACTTGGCCTTGGACTAGTAGCTTTTAGTGGGAAAGCTGATGAGGCTATTAGCTCTGGGTGCTTTAATAAGAAAGAAGAAAATACTGTTCTGAGTAATTCATTACATATGGAACCATTAAAGAAGCATTTGGAGATAAGGCTCCTACCAAGTAAAAATATTAAAATATCTTTCACTAAAGGTAAAAAGGAAAGGCTTTATGCTACCGTATGGTACGCAATACTCTCTGACAAGCATTTTGTAAATATAGGTACTTCCCTTGAAATTTCCTTCCTGCATAATTTGTGAAGATGCGCAGTTAATGATGAACATTCATCCTGGAGGAAAACCTTCTAAAATTCATGTGTATGTATGTGTATCTGCTATATCTCCCAGATTTCACACCTAACTCCTCCTACGGCCAAAATACTATAAATTGGGTAGTGTAAATCTTTTGTTAGAGGTCATCTTTCTCATTTCTGTGATTGGTAGATATCTATATGGTTTAGGTCCAGTCCTGGGCAATATGTGATCACAAACCCCTTGCAGGGGCTAAATTTTTCATCACAATTACTATTTAATTAGTGTGATTTTACTTCAGTCACTTGACAAAGAACCCATGTCCCATTTAAAGGATACATGGCTCACCTACAGTTCCTCCTTCTGACATGGACAACAGTTAGTTGCATACAGTGGGCTGTGTTCAACAGGTTTGACCATCATCCATGAAAACTTGCATAAATGCTTCTTGTTGCAGTCCTTTTGCCAGTATATCACGTTCCTACGGTTTAGATTTGCCCCAGCACATGCATCATACCACCAGCCTCCCCCAGGAATACCATTGTGTTCTAGTTTGGCACAATTCTGAAAGTAATTGTCATTGTCTCTGTCTTTGGTGGTGAACTTCTGGTTATCGTGGAGGTAAGCTTCTGTGTCCAGAGTTAGAGCATCAGTAGCATTGCCTTTGTATAGGCCAACCCTGATTCGGTATTGAGCTTCTTCATCTTCAATACGGAATGGTTCGTACTGTCCCCATTTGATTTCAGCATTTAGGTCTACAAGTTTAACTCCAAGTACATATTGCACAGAGCCGCCAGTTAATTGATGCATGTATTCATTTCCTAACCAGTGGTTGTCATGAACAGAGCCAAACCCATACTTGTAATCGTGCCACGTTCTATCAAAGTCGACAGTACTGTTGGCTGTAATGTGCTGGATTACTGTCCAGCCACCATCCTGCATGTTACAAGAGACAACAATTGGGTCTTCTTTTGGTTGGATGACGTAAAGACCATCTCTGGAATTTCCTCTGGAGTGCTGAAAAATCTCAAAACAATCCCTTAGATAGTCTAAGTAGAAAAAAAAAAAAAAAA